TGGAGATTCATAGTATGCCCCATAGCCGCACTAGGATGGGATACATCGGTTCTATATGCCGACACTTCAGTTCTCATATTTACTGATTAGGGTAATCCATTTAAAACAGGTCGAAGTTAATAAGTGCATGAATAGGAAGCCTTAAGCTTAGTAAATGGAAATAACCGAAAATTACAGGTCAAAAGAAAATCTTGTATTAATCCTGTTTAAATTGTGACTTTTATTTAATCATGTCTCACGTAAGATATGTTGTATATTAAATTTAATGCAGATTCTTGAGGAAGTTGGCTTGCCAGAGCTGTTCATCCTCGTAGAGGAAAAAATTGAAAAAGTTGTGCTGCCAAGTTACGTGGAAGCATCCCATGTCATTGCCACATCTGTTCAGTTGCCAAAGCAAGTTTGCAATGACATCGACAGAGTGTTGAAGAACTTCTTCGGATTAATTACTGTTTCTAACGTTCCAAACGTAAGTATTGATTATTCTTGTTATTATTACTTTTTGGATATTATAAAATTTGACCAGCCATAATTATCATTTGCCTTGCTTGTCAGGTGGCTTCCTTTGTCAATGATAGAATAAAGCCCTCTCGATGTGGCTGTGGGGAAGCTGTAGCCTTTAATGTGCCTTCCTTAGCTAGGCACATGAGGGTAAATGGTATCGACCTAGTGATAACCGATGCCACTATAAGGCATTTCATCACCTCCAAAGTTGTTGGTTGCGTGGGGAAGTCGAATAAGTTTTGGATCAGAACAACAAGCTCGACGTCTGCCCACATAAGTAGGCGTTACCTGTGTGCTGAAATTTTGGGTGAACTTGATAAAGGTAAAGATACACAATTTAAAAGATATTGCTCGTTTGAAGGGATTTTAATATGACCTCGCCTAAACCAATTGATATAATGAAATGTACATATAGGTGTGCATAAGTGGGAGTATCTGGAGCCCAAAAATGTCATACATTCTTGTGAATTAAAAATACATACACATGTTTGAAAAACGTTGCAATTTGAAAATATATAGATATGCCTTTTCTGTTTTCATCTAAAGGGTGACAGACGATGCAGGTATGTTTCAAATCAAAGGAACCATACCCTGAAGAACTGAAAGTGAAATGCCCTTGTCGGCAACTGGGATTAAAAATTCGCTAGAGGAAGAAAGATAACTCATTGACGCTCCTTTTTCTAAATTGATTCCTTAACAGGTACAGATAAAGGCGAGACAAGCTCAACTAGCGATTTTCAAGACAAGTTACACAACTGAAAATAAAATGCGGGTTTGAAAAGTAAACTGAAGAAAGAAAGAATACTTATAGAAGCTTCTTTTTCTAGTTGAGTCCCCAACAGGAACAGATACAGGCGAGAC